TCAGAGTTTAAGATTGAAAGTCTGGGACAATAAGACATGTATGCATAAAAAAAAAAAAAAAAAAAAAGTAGTATAAAGAGAAAAAAAAATTAATTCAACCCCTGTGTCCATGACTGAAACACCCAATAATCATACTAATAAAATACCTCAGCATATAACCACATAACTCTGCACTAAATCACCAATAAAAACCAAATCAGAAAAAGTAAAAGTTGAACATCATCAGGCCATCATTTTCAACCCTTTCCTCAGAGTCTTTTCAGCAGGGATTGATTTATCAGCTGTAAAGCCGGCAGTGGCTGAAAGCTTGTGTTTTGAGCGCACCCCTCCTCGCCCTGCGCGGTATGCCTGGGGTGAGAGCGCAATTGTTAGTGTTCTGTGTGTTGCTAATTCTTCTCGATGAATAGTCAAGCATGTGGTTCTGCGGGTCAGTGTGTAAATGAGGAGTTTAGCGACTCACACCCAGCACTCGCTCCGGCCAAACAGGGCAAACGAGTCGAGCAAAGATCTGAAAAGTCAAACATGGTTACTTGTGGGACTGTGTACAGTCTCTGTTCCAGTGATTCTGCAATCGGGGCATTTTTTGAATGCTTCATTTCTTAAACGTTTTCAACCTGCTTTAAATGGGTCGTCTTATGCTTTTTTACACTTTCAACTTTCTTTAGTGTGTAATGTTGCTGTGTGAGGATGAAAAAGGTCTGCAAAGTTACAGTCACTCCAGCAGGAGTTCTTCTCTATATCAGTGTCACAGTTTCTGAACTCCCTAAAACTGTAGTCTGGAGTTTTCTGCCGGGAACAAACACGTCACAATATTCCTCATTTCAATAGTTCCCACCAAAGGCATCCGCATAATAAAGCGTACGAGGCCTGGTTGAGGTGTGTTAGTTGTGCTGAAACTGGTGGTTATGGTAAGGGTTTCGACATTTCCCAAACACGCTCGAAAAGCTTGACCAATCACAACACACTGGTCCAGTTGACCAATCAGAGCGCATTGTGCTTTACTCATAGAGACAGGGACTAAACAGAGCGTTACTGGCAGACTGGGAAGAGTGGAGCTGCAACACTGTTGAACATGTGATCAATAATGTGTTTTTTGAACATTTTTGAATGTGGAAACCTATTCTAGTAGACCCCAAAAACAACATCAAGACTTTGAAAAAAGACATCGGTCTCCTTGAAAACCTTTATCAACCTTTAAATGGATTTTGGTATGATGTATGAGGGTGGACTATTGATATAGTGTGTGACGGTTATGATGCGTTCCCACTTATTCTGAGAAAACGTTCAATAAGTCAATTAACTGTGTGAAGAAATACTCAATTACTGAGCATTTGTGTAATTTCAGTAGAAATTCTTAAAATGGATGACATTTCTCACTATCTGGCAGAGATGTTCTTCTCTGTGGCATCTCTTTTCCATCACAATCGAGCTTAAACTATTTTATAGAAATGCAGTTGTTCTCTAAAATGAGTTGGGGACAGCAAATCTGTGTTATAGTAACATTACAAATTCTTTAAATAAACAAATTAATGTAAATATCATTATAGGATAATAATTGTTGTTGTTATTAAAAATATAACAATATAACAATATATATATTGTTATATTAGTAGCAACAACAATAATGTTTTTATTAATATATAATATATAAATAATATTATTATTATTGTTATTTTTTGTTGTTATTTAAGTTATAAGATAAAATACATACTGTTTTCTGGATTTTCTGGATTGTCTGGATACTTGTGATATAGTATAGACAAGTTGTTAAAAGCCTAGGTAAGGAGAAAGCGCATAATTCATTCTGGGAAATTGATATCACACAATATTTTACTCTTTACTCTGTGAAAGTAATACTTACTTTTTACTCATTTTTAATTTTTGATATTTTTTTTTATAATTCATTACATTTATATAGCGCTTTTCTTGCCACTCAAAGCGCTTTACATAGAAGGGGGGATCTCCTCAACCACCACCAATTTTTAAGAGTTGGTCAAGAGTCTAAAGCTGTAAGGTAAATGTTGTCCCAAGTAATTCTTTAACTGATCTTTTAAAACAGCCATTCAGCCTGTGAGAACATTTAACTAAAGGCTTGTAAGGTCATTTAATTGGTTCCGCCTCGAACAAACTTACAAAACCTCTAATTCTGAGAATGGTTCCCTTGTATTCTCTCGTTCAAAACACATCTGAAAGCCAAACAAGCACTGGCTTCAGTAAAATGTGTGTCAGCTTTCATTCCAATTCACCCGAATCAGACCTACAAACCCAGATTCTTACAAAGCCGGTGTGCTGATCCGGGATCTGGCCTTCCAATGGAAAACGTTGTGAATATGAGAAATATCTGATCCAGCAGCAGTTCTCGTAAAAAAAAAAAAGAAGAAGAAAAAAAGAAGGTTTCTGATTCTCGCCCCAGGACACGTCTAGAGGAAGAAAGAGCTAGAAAGACGGACGCAACAGAGAAAGAGCGATGAGAATGAAAGGACTTACGTGTTACAGGCCGTCATGGCTTGGCATGTGTCCCCTGTGCAGAACTCTGAGATTGTGCTATACTGCAGATTTATGAGATTAAAGAAGGTTGTTGCTGCAAAGGACAAAAGAAAAGACATTCAGAGAAGATGTGACAAGACATTCACAATCACTAAAGCTGAAATGGCATCGCAGTCATTGCATGACGTCTGTTCGGAAACGTAGCAAATGAATCATGGCGCCACATACGACGCCTCCTTTTAGCAGGAAATCCCAAAATGCATTGTGATAAGCTTAGTGAAAAAAATGCAAGTCGGTGGATGAGGCAAGAGAAATGTTGATTATAAATAATCGTTTTATCCAATACTCTAAATGAACAATAAATAAAGTTGTGTAATTATTATTTTAAACATCATTTGTGTTTAGTTTTATTTGACTATCCTGTCATTAGCTTAGCAAAATGCTAAGATCAAACTTGAAAGTTTTATCGTTCGCCAGGCGAAAATAATAAGTCCAATCACTTAGAAGTCATTTTGGTTAGGGGTTTATACTTAAGGTCAGGGGGTTTGTTCAAATCACCAACGCTAAGGACCAGAATTAGGGTGCGTTTACACGACAACGATATGCTTAAAACGGAGACGTTTTTCCTTTGAGTTTTCCGCGTACAGACGACACCATTGTCAAAACGATCCCCATTCACACGGATCCGCGAAAACGACTACAAATGCTGCATTCTGCTGCCAGGCCATTAGATGGCGATGAAAAACTATCCTGAACACGTGATACGCATGTGCATGACGTCATCGTCTTCAGAGATTTGCGTTTTGTTGTTTACACGAAGACCGTTTTCAAAAACGTGCATTTTGAAACACTTTTTCAAACGTTTGCGTTTTCAGGCACCCAAAACGCCGTTGTCATGTAAACAAACAGCCAAAAAAAAACAAAAAAAAAATCATTCTTAACAGGAAATAAAATTTGGTTCATAATGAAATTTGTACTGTTTTTTTATTTATTATTAAAGTCCCACTCCGATCATATTTTGAGCTATTTTTAAACATTCCCAGTGGTCTTTAAATTATGATTATGCCATTTTTAGCCAAAATCACAAAACCTGTGCCGTTTTCTGGGACTTGGCTTCAGCAGAGCGGCAGTAGCTCATTAGCAATTCGCCTCTGCATTGTGGGCGGAGCCGTTGGCACGGAGACGACCCTCCCCCTGCCCGTTGCTGAGAGCTCTGTCTCTCCCGCTAGCTTACACCCCCAATACCGGTGGGGCAACAGTATTATATACACGTTAATTATTATTATCCAAAGTTAATCAAAGTTATCACCGATCACCGATCATTATTTCACTCCAAGACGTCGCATGTGGAGACGCCCAGTGGAGTTACTACGTCACAACTCCAGTCTATTTTAGCGTCTGCTACTGATTCACAGCCATTTGAATGTAGAAATACTCAGAAATACAACTTTGAGCTTATTTTTCTCAAGATATGTCCTCTAACAACAGAAAAATGCCACAAGAACATGTTAACACCTAGAAAAACATTATTTTCATCGAAGTGGGTCTTTAAACTATCCTGTTGTTAGCTTAGCAAAATGCTAACAGCAAACGTGAACGTTTTATTGTTTGCCGTGTGAAAATCACAAGACCAATTAAGTTTTAAGTTTTTTTTTTATGCGTATACGCACAGTCAAACACGTAGCAGACATTTGATAGAGTGCGCGAACACAGGCAGTCGACACATGCGCTCCAGAAGTTATGACCGATGAAAATGTCTTTGTATTCTTTTAGTGAAGTTGCGGCTCTCGTAACCCCCTCACAGAAGCGCTTGTCAATGTGGGCTTTTGTTGTTGCAGTCTCCGGTATTTTGTTGTTGTTGTTCCATCTCATTAATTTCACAAATAATTTGGTTCATAATTAAAGCAATGGTTCAATTAAAAATGAAAATTCAGTCATCATTTACTCACCCTCGAGTTGTTTCAAACCTGTATGAATTTCCTTCTTCTGCTGAACACAAAGGAAGATATTTTGAAGAATGTCAGTAACAAAACAGTTGATGGACCCCATTGACTTCCATAGTAGGACAAAAAAAAACTATGGAAGTCAATGGTGTCCATCAATTGTTTGCTAAATGATGACAGAATTTTCATTTTGAAGTGAACTATCCCTCTCTTTTCACAGCAATAACAATTTAAGAAGGTAGTGCTCTGAAATTACTTTGTGTACTTTGCACACACACACTAAAATGCGACTGATTTACAAACTCCTGACTGACGGAAGGTTATTTTTGAAGACGGACAAAGACTCTCAGCCTCAAAATACAGGGCAAACACTCATAACAACTATAATGTTTGGTTAGAAACTCACTGTTGCTGGCGAGCCATTCGTTGAGGTCTATCTCTCTGGTGGGAAGCGCCACCAAATCTTTCAGGTCGAAGTCCATGACCCGCACTTTTGTGTACTCTGGCTCCAAGTAGTGCTTCTTCTCTTCAGCGGGTGCTTTCTTTCCATTGGGCTTCGTTTTGGATTTCCTGCAAGACGGGAGAAGAGACACACGTTAAGATGAGACAGAGTGGAACGAAGGTGAAGTGTGTTTTTCTCGTTGTCAGTAGCGGTACCAAACGCACACGCGGTTTTCAAACATTCAAAAATGACATACGGTGTAACTACTAAAAATGTTCTAACATTTTTCTTATATGTGAGGTGTACACATCGTACTTATTTATTTATTATATTTTAAAATGCATTATTTAATGTAAAAACTACTTTTTTACAAACATCATGAAATGCTTATTCATAAATATGAGTTTTTGGGGATTCACACATGACATTTTGAACTGAACTAAGACAGCCCTGTCATAAAAAAGTAAAATTATCTGATATTTTAAGAGGCTTTTTGACTTCGACACACAGTCATGAGTGTCTGAAGAGATCCTCTCTATGATGTCATTTCCTTATTTTTTTTTGTAATTGTTGCATGTTGGCTGCCCCACATGACTTGGTAGACAAAAGATTTTTTGAATATTAATAAGTAGTGAAATGGTAAAAAAAAAAAAAAAATTATGTCTTTTAGGAGTTTTTTCTTTCCTTTTTTCTTTCCTTATGTTTTCAGAACGTTAGGCCCCCTAAAGCATTTAGAAATGAAAAACATGCTCAACATATACACACACACACAAAAAGTTCTTCATATTATAAATTAAGACATTTAAATTGAGTAAAAAAATTAGAGCTTAAAAAAACATTTTCTATAAATCTTACCATTTAGTTTTCGTGATTCGTATTACCAAATTTGATTAATTTTTTTGTAAATTTATGAATACGAATCAAACTAAATGATCCGTTCACTTCTCCCATTAAAATTTACACAAAATGATTTTTTCAAGCTCTAGGTTTTTTTTTTACGTAAGGATTATTCAATTCAATTTGATGGAATTTTAACTATACGATTTCAATTTGTAAATCATAAAAAAAAAGACTTAACATCTTTTTTTTTTCTTTTTTTTAAAAGAGGCCAATCAAGTCATTGGATAAACCGCATAGATACAATAAATCGACCCAGACAAGAAAGTGTAAGAACTTCCAAGGATTTTGAAAAAACTTCCCAAAGTGGTCCAACATCTCCGCTTCTTTGGAGTAAACCACATTTCATGTCTGTTTCAAACTCCTGTGTCAAAACAGACTTCCAGTGCTAGTTTTAACATGTAAATGCCAGAATCGCATTGCTGTGGCAGATCCCGCAGCTGGTTGGGACAAAGGTTATAGGGGTCATTAAACAGCTAATAACAAGAGTACAGGCAAGGACGGGTTATAAAGAATTTACACCCTTTCCTTGCGCTCGCTTCGACCCCTATTTGGTTTATTATGTTTATGTGAACAAATTAGGTAGAGATTCTCTTTACCGCTCGCTCATTTTAACTCTTTTCTTCCTTGCGGCCTTAAATCAGCGTTTTGCTTCGGACAAAGGAGTCAAATTTATTGCTCACCCACCCACTTGATATCCTGTTCGAGTCTCTCAGCACTGTAAACATTCCCTCATTCCCAACCTCAAGTTTCTGACCACCTTCACCATTTCCTCTTTTCCACACACAGCACTCCATCATCGGAGCAGGAAGAGACCAAAGTCCATAAACAGTGTTTTTAAACTGAAGCCAAAGACAAAGGGATCGGTCTGCGAGATTAGCGGGATTCTGGATTGCTTCCGAGCGGGAAAGATCTTATCATCCATATCAAGGTCTTAAATTGACTCGTGTCAAAGGTCTAAAAGGGTTAATCGTCTGATCAAACATCATTGGAGCGTGGGAAGTCTGGAAAACTTCAACTTTAGTTGCATGTCATTCCATTTAACTACACAAGATTAGTGTTCTGGGTGAAACAGGAAATAGAATGAAGATACATCACAGAGGGAATTCACACTATGAGCTACTTTACTGCTTTTGGTCAAAGATACTGAAAAATTCTAAAAATGAAGGAAATATAGACAGAACAAAAAAAGAGGATATTTCCTGTTCCTCTTTCAACAGACGAACTGACCTCATAACAACAAGCCGCCTCATTAATACATGTTTCTGTGTAATCCACATCATACGAATAAACACAAAATTGGCACATAGTAAAATAGTAATCGGTTGAGCAGAAAATGAAACATCCAGTTTATGAAATTATTCTAAACTAGGATGAGCTTCGCTTTCCATATTTCAGATAAAATTGGTAACACTTTATTTTGACGGTCAGCTTTAGACATTCTCAGTAATGTTGCAGCTACATGTCAACTAACTCTCATTAGAATATTAGTAGATAGCTTAATGCTAACTCTTTATTTTGATGCTCCCCAACTGACATTCTACTGACAATAAGTAACTTTGCAAGTTAACTTATTCTACGAACCCTTACCCTACCAGTCCACTAATACTCTACTAACACTCTGTCTAAAGAGAGACATGCAGGTGCAACGTTACCTCTAGTCAACAGAATATTTAAACCATCAAAATAATTGCTTACAAAATATGTTTCTCTGATTGAAAATATAACTGTATTGGTAGAGAGTGCTAAAGCTCCTCAGGTCGTATTTTTGGTGGCATATTTGTTGAAATTATCCTTCTTTCTAAATTTGCTGTAAATAATAGGCTATATGTCCTATAAATAAACCGAAACAGACGCGACTGAATACGTGTGTCCTCTTTCTTTTGTGAAATCACGGTAAACCACTTTATTTCTGTGTGAATAATGTGCAATTTTGACACAAATTAATTCATTTTGATCAATGTATATCACTTTTTATTGTAAACCTGTGGGATGCTTGGGTTTTAAATATTCAAGTAAACAACAAAAATGCCAGCAAACGGTCGCTTTTATCATGTTCGTTTTGCGATCTCGCTGTTTCCAGGGATTTCTTTCTGATTGGTTTTCTGATCAAACTTCCATCTGTCGGGGAAATGATGGGTTAGTGTGACGTTGTTCCAGAGAGGTGTGTTACGGGCGTGTTTTAGTGAAGCACTGCCGAGCTTCTGGCCCGACAGTGGAAACGCAGCATGGTTTTTGGTGCTACAGGCCCGAGGCTATTAGCCCGTTTAAAGCCCTGGCTCGCACTGGCCCGACAGCGGAAACGTGGCTACTGGTTACCTATTAAGTTCCGAATCGATTACAAAGTATTTCTACTGACCTATAAGGCCCTAAATGGTTTAGCTCCTGTGTATTTAAGTAATATTCTATCGCCCTACAATCCATCACGCTCTTTAAGGTCACAAAACTCTGGGCTTCTGGTACTACCTAGGACATCTAAGTCCACTAAAGGAGGGAGAACGTTTTCGTATTAGGCTCCTAAACTCTGGAAAAGCCTTCCTGATAATGTTTGAGGCTCAGACACACTCTCCCAGTTTAAATCTAGACTACGGATCAGTTTCAGTTCATTCCTATGAATGCCTGTGCGAATTTGCGCTAATTTGAGGGCGGCAATTGCTTGAATGGTGGGTTCATTATAATGCCTAATGACAAACACAACTAATCCTTTGCAGGTTCCCTATTAGCATTTGGATTGAATCCACAATATTGCCAAATAGGCGCTTTTATATTTCGCTTTGAAACCGAATCTTCTGCCATCGTCTTGTCAGTCAGCTCGCCTCACTCTTGTGATGAATGAAATCTGACTCCTGCTGCTGATCTGTGCGGCGACTCTTGTTCAACTCACGCTGCATTGAGCAGACACATTTAGTTTTTAATTGTAGTGTCTGTTTTCTAACTAAACACAATTAATTTTATTCCAACAAAAAGACGGTGGGGGCGGTGCTGTGGTGGGCAAGTGATGTAACCGGTGTTGCGGCTGAACACTGGTAACACTGACTATCGCAGCAAGCCTAATCTAGCCTAAAAACACATCTCTTTAGCCAAGCATTCACATAATACATCTCATAACCTTGTGCTCCAATTATATTAGGCAAAGGCACATGACTAACTATTGCTTGACATGTTATAAACAGCAGCTACACTAATTATTCTTCATTTGCTTTTCTGTTTCTAGAGATTACGTCAGCTCCAGTTCGGATCCAGCCTTTTTTGGGAGTGACAACTACATGTAAATGTTGGATTGAATTCACAAAAACTCATTCAGTCAGTCCTGAACAGAACACACAACATTGGCACACTAAACATTACAGCCATGGGCGTAGACAACTTTTAATAAAACTTAAATTTGATCCCCATACTTTTTTTAGGCAAATGTGTTCAGAGTTTCCCATGGGCCAATGTGAATAAATCTAGATTTAAATTCAAGGAGACAAAATAGTCTAAGCCTGAATGATTTATTCTTATCTAAAATGAGGTGATGTGAACATTATGGGTCACTAAACACTCATGTATGTTTCATTCATACTTGAAGCCGGAGGGCGCTCTCTCGCAATGTTCGCTCCCTAAAAAGTCCCACAATTCAGAGTCAAAACCATAGAGCATCGATGCTCACTATGTTCCCAAGCAAAGTAGTCTTATTTGCTTATAAGTCAAAACACACGCCTCTGTCTGTACGCAACCAAACTCACAAGTGGAGTGACACCATATTTAACTGTAGTGTGAACACTACCAAAGTGGAGCCAGGAATGGTTGTCTGTAAAACTGTTGTGACACGTGAGTTTAGTGTTTGGTACACAAACACAGATGGTTTTCTGCTGCTGAGTGGATGATACAGGTCTTTGGTTGAAACCTTGGCTTGGTTTGAGAGTTTGGAAACTACAATGCCTTTTATGGCAAAGATATCTACGGGAAACTGCTCTGAGTGGGCATGAAGTGTGTGTGTGTGTGTGTGTGTGTGTGTGTGTGTGTGTGTGTGTGTGTGTGTGTGTGTGTAACAGGAGGGCCGCTGGCAGCTAGAAAGTTTTTCTTTCTCCTAAAATAAACTAGCTAATGGCTTGAGAATTTGCCCTGCGCCACATAATTCACGAAAACAGTGCTTCCTGGAAAATTACGAAACCCAGGGAAGGCTAAAATAAAACAATGTGCGTTCAGATTTTTGGATGCACAAACTGTTTCTTCATGTAAGAAAACA